CACACACACACACACACACACACACACACACACACACACACACACTCTATGTCTCACACACACACACACACACACACACACAGACACACTCTCACACACACTCTCTCTCACACACACACGCACACACTGTATAATCTAGAGAAGCACAAACACCGAGCCGCAGTAGTGCGCAAATCCACAAAAATCATGTGTTCTTTAAAAGAACCAGTTCCTCTTCTAATGCAATGGATGTTTTAGAACACTTTACTTGAAGCCGTATGTATAATGCATTATGAAGTTATCCACAATTCACACTGTGATGCATTATATCTTTCAATTAAATAATTGTAAAATTATAACATTTGCAGATTCCTTGTTACATCTGAAATCGGTCGTTTGTCAGGTGTTTTATTTTTTCTAAAGACATAACTATGAATAGTTTGATATACTCTCAACAAACACATTTTCACCATGTTTTAGGAGTGAAATGTTGTATAAATCAGTGTGAATGAAATATGAACAAACCTTCAGAATATAGAGAGGAATAAAACTGTAAAGTTTGGCGTTTGTAAGAGAAAAAAACTCTTTAAAGATTGAAATCTACAGACGCAAATAGATAAAGTGCAATAAAATAAACACTTAAATGAGTGCTTTGGATGTTTCTTTCATGATATGAAGAACAAGAGAGCGAAATCTCTACACAGACCACGGAAACGGCCAGTAATGTCTGGACCTAAAAGACTTCTGGTGTAATTGAACTGAACAGCATCAGAACAAAACATCAAGTGTTTTAGAGAAATAATCCAGCTTCTCTGAGGAGCATCAGATGCTCTTTCCCTGAACGAGTCTCGTGTCATATGCTTGTATTAACACATGCAGGAGGAGGACTTCAGCACAGATGCTATGACTCATGCCAGCAGATGGAAACGACTGATCTCAGTTCATCAGATCAAGCTCATGACGTAACGCAGGCTTTATGAATCGGGTCGGCTCACGTGCTTCTGCTCTACGGCGTCTCTGGCTCTGTCTGGGCCTCGAACACGATGATGAAGAACTACATCGTACACTCGCGAGCAGAAGAGCATGTGGCCCATGAAGAGAGGAGACAGACCAAAACAGAGAGAGAGAGAGAGAGAGAGAGAGAGTGAAGCAAGGAAAGAGGGCATACTTTTCGCAACGGCGATTCAGCCAGCCGGACTTTCTTGGGAGATATCTGTGAAGAGAGCAAGAGAATTAATATCGTGTATCGCTCTTCAGAGATATCTCCTGCTGTACAGCTGCACAACATCTGCTGAAGGAGCCGGAGCCGGAGCCGGAGCCGGAGCCGGAGCCTGCTTGTGGCAGTGCACTGACCGCTCAACCAGCCGCAGCTGGACTAGTTAAGTGTCAGATCATCTCCACCAGCACACAGCACCAGAAACACCACACTTCAAACGCTAATGCAATTACACTCAACATTTCATTTTTAACTTCATTTCAACTTTTTACATTTGTATATACTGTATATATGCAAGATTTTGATTAATTACACATGCTTTTTCTTTATAAAAATTCAGAATCCGGACGAATTAAAATGGGGGAAAGATGGAATTTGGTAAAAAATAAAAAAATATATATATATATATAAATACATGAATGAATGAATGAATTAATACAATTTCGGGAAAAATTAAACTGAATTTCTTTAAAAAAAAAAAAAAGGTATTTGGTTAAAAAAATTGGGGGGGGGGGACTTGGTTAAAAAAATAAAATTGAGTTTTTGAATTTTAAAATAAAACAGAATTTGGTAATAAATAAATAAATAAATTAATTAATTACATGGAATTTGGGGGAAAATAAAACGGAATTTGGGCAAAAATAGAAGTGTCTTCGGCTTCATTATTCAGTCTTCATGTCGCTCCTGAGTCACATGCTGAACTGAATTAAAGAGGAAATCTGAGGAATCTTCCCATCATGATCACGACTGTCGAGCTCCAAACAGGACAGACACACCATGAAACCATAGGAACGACCTCCACGACACCTTTATGGTTTATTTTGGACCGTCATGGACCGCTCATCGTTTAGAGTCTCCTTCAGCTCAGAGCAGATGACGAGCGGACGCTGACAGACGGCTGATTTCAGCGTTCATGTGTTGATCAGCATGTGTTCTGGGGCTCTGACCCCTGACCGCAGGGCTGCCAGTGCCATCAGAAGAGCTTCAGAGTCTCATGATTCTCCGAGATGTCTGGTTTATCAGCCGTTAGTGTCACTCGTGTGACCGCTGGTCAGCAGCTCGGCAGGACTAGTTTGGTGTGTGTTTGCTAGTGAGACACTGGACGCAGACAGGAGACGAGCACGAGAGCTACGCAGCAGGACAGGACAGGAGAGAGGACACACTCAGCGTCTCTAACACACAGTCACGCGGCTCTGTTCAGCAGCTCTGCTCTCCGGCTGGTTCTGCTGTTCTACAGAAACTGATCTAGAACAGCGGTTCCCCAAACACCTCGGTCCTCGTCCTACAGCTCACAGCTGCATAGTTCTTATACTGTGAAAAATATCATTTAGATTTATATGAAGTTACATTACTGCATGTAAATGTATTATTTATTTACTTATTTTCATTTATTTACTTGTTTTAATACATTTTTTTTACTTTAACTCCAATTTTTATTTAGTCACATTTTTTTGTATTTAAATCTAATGATTTACTTATATATTCATTTAAATCTAATGTTTATTTATTTATTTTAATTTTAAATCTCATTTTTATTTATTTTAATCACATTTTTATGTTTGTGTTAAACCTCATTTTTGTTCATTTATTTTTATTTTAAATCTACTTTTAATTTAATCTAAATTATTTTAAATATTATTTATTTATTTTAATCACACTTGTATGTATTTTTATATCTCATAATTTATTATTTATTTAAAATCTAATTTTTATTTATTTATTTGAATCACATTTTTGCAAATTTACTTAAAATCAAATTTTTCATTTATTTATTTAATCATATATATATATATATACAGTGGGTACGAAAAGTATTCAGACCCCCTTAAATTTTTCCCTCTTTGTTATATTGCAGCTAATTTATTTATTTTTATGTTTTTACACCGTTTTTCTCTGAACCTTCCCTTTGGTATTTTTCTGGCCATTTTAAATCTCTTTTTTCCACTGAGCGTGTTGCAGTGCATTCTGGGATTGGCTCCTCCATGAAGCACACGTGATGCTTTATGATTTATATTTCGGGTTTCGGAACAGAGCTCATCTACTCTGATAATCATCTGTGATTAAACTAAAGAAATGAACCAGTGTGGGAGGTCGAGAGCTGCCAACAGCTGAGAGAGACACAGGAAGTGAGCCGCAGGAACAGGAAGTACCTTCATGGGTGTGATGTAGGAGGGGTCCACCATGGGCTTGGGCCGGTTGGCCGTGTCGGCTAGCAGACTCTGCCATTGCTGCGGCAGCCCGGTGAACTTCTGCTCGTGCGGGTCGAAGCCGGTGTGGACGCGGTGCTCGAAGTTAGACGGAGCCGAGATCTCTAGCCGCTTCTTCTTCTTTCCAAACATGCTGGAGAAGCTGGAAAAACCTGCAACGGCACAGAGAGAGAACGACGATTAGACTCGCAGAGATTCCCAAACACAAGACAACTGATCATAATTACATGAAAGTAATCCACGGCCCTAAACAGCAGGTTTAATTTTCTTTTGGAAAAATATCTGGTTAATGTTTGTTCTTCATGTTCCAGCAGCACTGTCTATGTGTGTGTGTGTGTGTGTGTGTGTGTGTGTGTGTGTGAGTGTGTGTGTGTGTGTGTGTGTGTGAGAGAGTGAGTGTGTGTGTGTATCTGTGAGTGGGTGAGTGTTCCCATCAGCCCCTGCATGATCAGGACACGTGTGATCATTTCCTGTCTCTCTCCTCCTCCTCATCATCATCATCATCATCATCACTGTAATCACTCTCAGTATCTGCTTTTCTGCTCATTCACACAGCATTCAGCTATTTTTACCGAGGTTTAATTGTATATAACCCATCTGCCACGAGGAACTCGCCCAGAGTGCAGCGCGTCAACATGCATTTCACTCATGGTGTTTGGCCTACATACTGCACACACACACACTCACACTCACACACACACACACACACACACACACACACACACACACACACACACACACACACACACACACACACACACACACACACACACACAC